TTCTTATTGAATTCTGAGCCACGCAATTTTGTTGCTTTAATTATTAAAAACCCAAAAAAAAATTGCATACTTTTCGGGTAATAAATTTTTTAATCAATTTCATGTAGCAAAATATAATACTAAAAATATTTTTAATTAAGTTTTAATACAACACATTTATAAATTTTAGAATACATGTTGAAAAAAGTTAGTAGTTTAATTGCTAACAAATTATTTATCTCAAGTTCAAGTTCTCAAGTTGCGATTTAATGGACTTCGCAAAGACGGCGAAGACATCGGATTCAGATATCTTATAACACAACCTTTATATTAATAGAATAATTTAATCAACTAAAATAAATATTAACGAATTTAATTCTGAAGTTTAATTTTTCAGAAAAATAAATACAATATATTCTACTACACTGGATAGCAAAACTCCACAATGCACAATGTTTATGTTACGAAAGTCACATTTTTAAACTGCAAGATCTTAAAAGTTATTCAGTGGCTTGGTGTCAAAGATCTTTACTGAGGTAACAGTTGCCAAAAAAAAAGATGTGAATTTAGTAGAATAGAAAGATATTCCTTTATTAGAAACACGATAATGAAGCATTCATTGCAATCTTTTCTATGTTATACAATATATTATAAACTTTTTAATGTAATATATAGATTTTATACTTCAGAAAAAGTAGTTTTCTAAGGTTGCTAATGGCATCACATTATATCTTACTGATTAGAAATTTCTTATCGCCGAGAATTACCGCTTAGGTAAATTTTCGTTTCAAATGATACCATAATCAATAAAAGGCTCATGAATTTATCAACAAGATCAAGTACCATTGAAGACTATAAACATATACACATATGCATAATTTATATCAAATTATCTATGCATTAGAATTCCTTGCGTAACAAAACTTCTTCTGATATTTTTAATGATGAAAAACGACTACTCCATACATCAAATCCTGCTGAGGCCTATCAGACAATAGACATTTACTAAATAAATACTTGTCACAAATTAACTGTTAATCTGTTCGTACCATGCTCTTAAATTATTCTCATAATTTGTCCCATGTACGTAAAGTTATATTCACCTTATGTGATTTATATGTTTCATTATGTTTCTTCTTCTTAATAGCAGTTAGACTCAATCTCTCAGTATTTTCGTACACTTCCCACTTTGTGTCTACTTTACTATTTCATCTCAAATTATATAACGAACCATTATGCTATAGATATAAGATAGAGAGGGGCCATCTACGGCCTGTAGTAGTTCAACAAAATAAGTTCGTAATATCTTTTAAGTAATTTTATCAAAGATTCTCATTTCTAAATGTTATTTACTTATTTATAGATTTAATTCATATCAACAAAATAATTAATTTGAATACTATATGCATTTTAATACCTATATTATATATTAATATTATTATAATATATGAAATAATATATTATTTTAACATATAACTATACTAAAATAATAATATGTGTACCCGCATATAAATAAATTTTTATAATGAATTGGAATTATAATTTATTACTGAGTATCTTTTAATGTTCTACTATATATATGTATATAATTGTATGTAAAAACATAAAAGATATATTTTAGTTGTTTTCTAATTAAGCGGACGACATGATTACTTATATGCATATTTCTGCAATTTTATTTATTTGAATTTAATGTATAAACTAAAAGTATTTTGTTTAGGTAAGTACTTTTCTAGTCTTTAAGTATCTTTCTCCACATTCATTAATTTTGTTATTCATTTAATTACCATAACCGAGCTGTTTCTTTGCAAAATTCACATTAATTTTAATTTAATTTTAATAAACCACCAAGTTAAAGTCATAATATTTTATACTTAAAATCAATTAATTACTTGCGTAAATTAATATTAAAAAAATTAATTATTAATAGCTACTGCTGGTGCTAATTCATTCAAACAAAATTTATGTGTTTACGATTATTTCAATTAAAATTTATATAGATTTTGCATTATCAAACCATTTAAAATATTTCTATTTTTATTTTCCGTTAGAAAAATCATTCATCGGAACATATAAGTATCTTAAAAATATTAACTGTGCTCATATTCATATATCATACCGCTACGTATAATCAGTATACTTGTTAGTACATATATATATATATATAGTATGTAAAGTAGACGGAATATATAATGTGAAAAACTCAACCAATGTGATTGACAAAGCATCGTGTTGACCTGATAAAAATCTGTCTGTCTTGTTTCTGTGCTCTATTCTGAAATAATCACTTCCAGTAAGATGTTCTGAGACGATTGAAGCATTAAAAGAAGAATCGCTGAAGGTGTTGAAGACCATCGTTCAATTTAACTGTGAAAATTGTTTGGATTAGAAGAAAATTCAAACGCTAACATAACTTTATCGCACTCAAATACTTACAAATTAAATTTTGGCTGTTTGCTAATTTTTGAATTTTTTTCCAGAAAGATAAGGTTTAGTTAAATTTGAGTGTAAGTCTTGTGCATCAAAGCTTATTTAGACAGAAATAATATTCCGTTATGATATCTTGAATTATACACCATCCAAACACCGGACCTAAGGAACCACCTAAAAGAAGGAGTCACAACTTGACAACTCTATGAGCTTATCTATGCCCCCAATTTTAAACACCGACAGCTTTGCAGGCCAGTTAGGAAAAGAAACCCAATGATTTTGAATGTTCTCTTAGCTAATGATGTGCAGTCACACATGAGTTGAAGAAGTTGACTGAAGTTTGGAGTTGTCTCCAATTTTAAAGAACGACAGCTTTGCAGGCCAATCTGAACTCACACATGAGGTGGAGTATAATTTCTTTCCCATCTTCATTCACAGAGCAATAGCTAATGAATATTCCAGCTAAATTCTGCACTGAATTTAAATGTAAGTACGTGAAAGGTTAAATTAATGAAACTGTTAATAGTTATTTAAACAAGTTTTCACTGTACTTCTACTGCAAATTGTAGGCATTTTGTATGATCATCAATTAGTGGATATCACAACGCGATATTGTTTAAACAAAAAAGCGCTTCAATATTTGCTGTTTAATGTATTTTTCTTGTTGTTTTTATTTTAACAAATATTAGAGCGAATTTCTTAGTTAATTTGTCAATCATTTTACAGAAATAGTTCATTGCCATTAAATGATGTGTAATTTCATTGCATCACTGCGAACTTAAAGTCAATATCATTAACTCTACATAACCAACAAAAATAATCTTACAACTATTTAGGCACAATTTTATTTCAAAAATTTTTTTAAATAGTAAATATTATCTAAAGTTACCATAAAATAAACATTTCATTAGGAAACATTATTGATAATCTAAAATATTCTTAGAGATACAAAATTAATTTTATTTTATAAAAAAATTATTAATAAAAAATATTAATAATAAATATTAATAACAAGAATACAACAATAAAAGAATACAATATTAAAATTAAATATTGAAAAAATAATAAATAAAAATAAATGATTTTGTGTAAAAATTAGGTCTTTCAAGTGTTCAATTTTATGGGTTGCCCCATTAGGCCCAATGCCTCACAAAGGGAAACGGACACTAAGAAACAGAAAATTTTATGTGTTATTTTATATAATTTTTAATCGATACAATTAAAGTATATAAAATAAATTTTCTTTTTAGTGAATTTGATATTCACATACTTATCTTCATAATTCAACTGACATCATAGTTGAAGTTCTAGATTTTCATTAGATACATTTAGTATTATTATTCCAAAAATCTTTTTTTGGAATAACCTTTTTATCTATTAATCTATCTATCCATTTATATGGATACATATAAAAACCGTTGTAAATTGAGATCATAGATGCTTCAATTGTATCCAATGTAAACTTTATCTGGTTGTTAATATATTAAGAAATCGGACTATCTTCTTAAGTTGAATATTTGTAAAAACTGTTAATTTCTACTTTTCAATCACCAATTGCTGAGTACAGATTATACTTCAATATAAAAATTGGTAGTTATAGTTGAATTGCACTATGGTGATTCCACAGAGGATTTTCGGATTCAGGACACAGAATTGTCATTTTATTGTATCATTACATGTTATCTCTATTTGAAAAATTTTTCTTGTATGTACTATTCCATGTTATTCAAAAGAAAAAGCGTCTCTTCATAACGTAATATGTTCAACAATGATATCATTTTGATATTTTAGTAAGAAATCGTACAAGAAAGCCCTACTCCGTGTACGTAGTTTTAGTCAATAATCCGTCTTCTTTTTTTGTTTTTCCTTTCTCGACAAACAGGTAGTTCCTAGTACGTACTAACCCTTGTTATTGACACAAGAAGAACATCTCTTTGTTGATCAAATTAATAATAGTAATTAGTAATAATATTTTATTATTTTTAATTAATTGAATTTTTTTGACTAAACATACAGCTATTTTAAACATCGCCAAATCATCTTCGCCAGATAATCCGAAACTTCAATAGCTGAAGCTTCAATCTAATACTATTTTTGATACAAAAGGAGAACTTTGAAAGTGAGCGCCTCACACAAAATATATTTTAATAATTTTTAAAAATTTTTAACATACAATATTGATCTATCTCTATAGTGATTTTGTTGACTATTGTTTTAAAATTGTAGCACAAACGGGGGCAGTGGCACAAGAGTTTAACTAATCCCCTATACGATAAGGTAGGGTATCTATGGGTATATTGCTCTATAACATTATAATAATTGATTTTTTAATATTCTAAATAAAAACATAATTCATAAGTCTTCACAAGTGCATTTAAATCTTTAGGAAGTACACACGAATCGATTTCCAGATTGCTAAATAACTCTCGTTGTGCTTTATTAAAAACTCATAGATAGATCTCATAGATATTTTATAATCTCCTTAATACTTGTACGTACTATATTAACTTCTTTAACGATTACTATTTTTTCATATATGTCTTATAGTGTGGGAATATAAAGTTATTGAAACAACAAAATTATTTTTTTCATTTTATATTTTATTATACATTTTTTTAAAATTTTTTTGTTGTTTTTATATTGTTAATAATTTTATATATATAAATTTTTATTTCCTAAAAATAATATATTAAAATTATGTAGTTTATAGTTCTATATCACTGAAAAAAAAATTCATAGTGGCAGCATAGGTGTTTATTCGTACTTCGAAAATTTTGTGTGTGTTCTCAGCTCCCTCGCTTTCGATCCCTCTCATATTATTTCTCCATTAACTTTGCATTTTTATGAAAATTAATTCAAGAAGTTTTAACCTCTTTGTCCACCAAATGGACGTGGTTGATCTTGCGGTGGTGGAGCAGTGGCCAAGTAAGCTAAAGCTTTTTGTATTGCTGGTGGAATTGGAGGTGGTGTGGGCAAATGATCACCTTGTGGTTGGAACCCACCATCATCTGATAAATATGTTAAACGTATTGGTATGCCTTCAGGTGAGGTATATGAGAAGAAGCCTTGTGCAAGCTGTAAAATAAATTAAAATTTTTTTTTTTTAATATTAAATTACTCTTTGTCGCTGCTAATTAAAAAGAATAATCGTGAGTCTTCTAGCGAATTATTTATTACTACAAATTTGCAAATGCCATCAAACTTTGAACCTTTAACTGCAAATTCATGGCAATTGTAAAATTTTACTCGGTCGTTTTATCAATTTAAAGCAGTAATCAATCGCTTGGGGTGCACAGAGTTCAGCGTGACTAGCCTAATTGCATTAGCGCTTCTTTTGAAATTTCTTGAACGCTTGTGTTGCTTGTTATTTTTGCTTCCGTCTCGCCAAATGTCATAGGCAGCAGCAATGACGGAATTCTTCACAGCTTCAAATGCCACGCTTGGTGCAATCATGGCACACGCCCACATCTGTTTGGCATTTTTATTGGCAATTGATTTTATTGCTTATGAAGTAAGGCTTAATACTTTTTTTTACGGTTAAATTTATTTTCAGTTTATGTGTCATTTCGATAAATCCGTACCTGTCCTTCTGCATCGGTGCCGGCATTTTTAAGATAGCCTTCCTCTTCAGCTATGATACCATTACCAGTTTCATAAGAGTACTTATAGGATCCATCAAAGTTTACTTCTTGTTCTTGTCTAATAATTGGAATGGGATCATTTGGTCCTTGTGGTCTGGCTGCTACTACGCTTAACATCAGCGCAATTGAAAGTAAATACTAAACAGAAGAAGAAAATATTTAATATTAAGAAAATTGTAATATTTCTATTAATATTAAATATATAAATAAATTGTATAAGTTTGGGTTACGTTATTCAATTTAATTATAAAATCAAAATGTTAGTGTTTTTATTATGAGAGTAAATTTATTTAATGTCCAAAGGATGGGTGCTGCATTTGCTGTAGTTTAAGTAAAATTGCGTAAATGATATCAAATATGTGACAATATATAATCACAGACAGTTTATATATATTTTATGTAAGTTATCTTATATAAAAGTAATATATAACTTTGCTTATATTAGATGCATGTAAGTTGTCCTATGTAAAAGTTCAGTATAACTTTTCTTATATAAAAGTTTTATATCATCATGCTAATCATTCACACCTGAGTCGAAGATCCCGTTTAAACAGTGTATTACGTATGAATTTTTGGAAAAGGTCTTGAACTATATTGTTTATTCAAATTCAATAAAACAAAATAAAACTCACTACATATTGGTTAAACCATTGGAATAGTCTTACAATTGTTACGTTATCTAACGCTATTACTTATTAAAATAATAAATTGCATTACGTAAGCGAATATATGATTCAGGATCAAGAATCAATTTGATGACTTTAACTTCAATGACTTCATTTCTATCTAAACTAAATCTTTCGCTTAAGTCTTTTGACTAACTGATAACAATAAATGTAATGAGTTCAGTTAGTAGCTTAATATAATGTGGTTCTAAAGAATATATTTGTCGAAGCTCTGCCTGCAAAAAGTCTTTCAAATTTTATTTATAATTTCATGAACCTTTTAAAATAGTTGAAATCAATAAAGTTCAATAAATGGGATTTTATTCTAAATCAATAAGCATTTATAATATTGTACATATAACTTAGGAAAAACATAGAACAGACAATTAATTAATACTTTCATCATTTTAACAGATTAGAACTCTTCATGCAATTAATTATGATTATTGGTTCACAGAATAGTTAACCATTTTCCGAAGTACAATTGATTTATAAAAATTAGGTATTAAAAATAAGTAATTTTTATTAATAAATATTATTTATTTAAAAAACCGACGTTTTGTGATTTTTTAATACATAAAATATAATTATTTAATAAAAGTTTGTCTTTAGAAAACTAACTACAAACATATATATACATATAAAGTATGTATATATCTATAATATAATGTAAATATATATAATAGATAACTGCATATTAACAAATATAGCAGAAAACTATTCTTTTATTTTTAATCTTTTATTATTTCTTTAATTTGTATAATATCTTATTAATACTTATTTGATTCTAATTTAATTGTATACAATTATTATATATATAATTCTATAGCATTTTAATCTAATTCGCCCATTAATTAATTTCTAAATTCTTAACATCAATCATAGTTCAGCAGCTAATTACAATATAAAGTGCTTGGAGATAGCACAATTGTGAGTATACACTGCTTAAATGAATTCAGTAATTTTATAGTTCAACACAATTTCTTTCAAACGAGATATATGCCAAACACTATATATTTTTTATATATTTATTTAATTTTATTTTTTTATTTTTTATTTTATTCATTATTATCAGCAATCACATAAAAAAAAATTTTATTAATTAATACTATTTAAAATTGAAATCCTTATGTCCTTTTTTAACGCAAAGTCATTAGTTTGCATATCCTTTTCATAGTTAAAATACACTAGATTTGAGTATATCACATTGGGTATCACTTACTAAGGATTTCATTGTGCAAAAATTTTCACTTATAAATAATCCTTTTTTATGCGAATTTTAAACTGCAAGGATCAACTCAATCACTTGAATAACGAGAAGAACACTGATGAAAATTTTTTCTTAACTGTGCAGTTAAGCGCAACGAGCAGGAATATTTATACCAAAAAAACATGCTAGAAACACAATTTTACTTGAACTTTACATTACATCAGCGAGCAATAAGTAGAGGAAGCAAAAGAAGAAGAAGTCGAACAACAACAACAACGACACCACTCTACCATACAACAACGAAGTAGCATCGACTATGATTTCGTCTGAAAAAAAAGCCATGAAAAAGTGTTTATAACAAGTACAATTACAACAAACATAACCAAAAGCTAAAGAAAAAGAAAAAGCGTACCAAACACAACAACAAATTACAAAGTTATTACCCACAAGTTAGACGGCAGGCAGTAAGTAAACCAAACGAATATTTCGTCTCAGTAAAGTAACGAAACTGTTCAAAAAAAAAACCAACAAAATAAAAACTTCAAATATAAATATGAAGAAACTAAGCCGAGATTCCAACCGCAAGTTCTTAAGCATGCATAAAGCTATTTGTTGCTATGATAAGCATACCAATTAATAACGAATAAAATAATAAAAACATAGATAAAGCAACAAGAAGACTCGCGCTCAGGCACCAATACACATTCAGTTAACAACGAACTATACCGTAAAGTATTGCGTGATTGAGCATTAAGAAAAATTATTTGTGAATGAAAAAGCTCAGTGACGTACTTAAAGTAAGCTTTAGGATATACAACTTGTTGTTGTTATTTTTTAAGCAATTTTAAAATTAGTAGCTGTTGATGTTGATGTTGCTGTTAAGTGAGGTTTTCATTAGTTTTGTATATTTTTAATGTAATAAATTTAAAATAAGTTCTTTTTATTTATACTAACATTAATTTGTCAGTGCGGTGTTATGAAATGTGTAGAAAATTGGAAACTTGGACCATTGCGGGATATTTCAGTTGAGTTTTTCACAATATGAAATTTATTAAATCTTTAAGTGGTAATTATGAAAAGAAGACTTGATCTTTTATTGAACTTTACTTACAAATTCTTGCATTTGATGTGTTAAGTTATGGCATCGGTATTTGGTGCGGTACAGTATGTATTATGGCAATGTCAGTCTACTACATTATTACATACCAGAAGTTTAAACTCAGATGAAAAGAATAATTTTAATCTTTTTAAAGAAAAAATTAAATTAAATGTAAATTTAATCCGGTTATAGGTCCCTTCTTTTGTTAAATAATTTAAAGTTAAATTTTTTTATTATGCTCTATATTTCAACTCTCCTTGAAAGTCATCATCAAGATCAGGATCTAACATAAATTCAAATTACTAAAACTATATCTGCGTCATCCTCTCTCAAGAGAAACGGTAATAAAAAGTGATTGACGTAACATTAAAACCGAACTTGAAGGCAAAGTCGAATTTCATAGAATATAAAACATAGAATATAGACTTTATTTTATAAAATATATATTGTTTGATATAATTTTGATTTTTTGTAAAACTTTTAAATACATACAACTATAACTAAAATTTTCAAAAATATACTAATGTTAGTCGTAATATAAAATAAATTGGTTCCTGAATGTAACCAAAAATTACAATATATAAAATAGATATCTTCCTATTCGGCTTTAATTGGTACAACAGTCCTAGTTGAACTTTGACTATCTTAATTTCTGGTTTCAGACATAGTTACATTCTTCTACAGTGTATTTGTTTTGATGAAATTTTATTGGTTCACTTTGTTTTATTCTTATTAAAGAGTATGTCCTCAAAATTTTCAGGGTATGTCCTCTGAATTTTATTATTAAAACATGTGGTAAGTGCTTACCCTGATGAAGTTAGTGTCCTTATATATAACATCAAATTTTACCCGAAACTCGTAACGGTTTTCGCACAAATTGTGAATTACCTTTACAGGTCATAGAGTTCTTCTAAGTGAATTACAACTGAAAACACTTAAATTTATTTTATTGGTAATTCATATATTAAGTGTTTCGATGGTGTAGTAATGTTGAAATAAAATTACCAGCCAAACAAGATATTCTAAAATACCAACCATAATTCCATACCTGTTTTCTTCTTCATTTTTCATGATGTGACTTTGACCAATCCTTTACCTGACATCGTTTCCAAGAATATAAATTAATATTTTTTCATAATATATGAAATATGTGTTTATTTGCATTTTAATTAAAATTATTATAATTTGTTCTTTATGTATTAAATTAATTCATGCAATTCTAAGCAAGAATCTAATAATTTAATATGTATAATCAGAATAAATTTCAGTTCATAAGTACAGAACAAAAAAAAACAATTTTTAGGTGTTACTTATAAATATTGAAAAAAAAAAATTAAATTAAAAAAAAAAACAACAAAATTGCTGTTTGTTATTTTGTAAATAATTGTATCTACAACTTCTATTTAATTACAAAATATTTATGACTTCAAAACATCTGATAGCTCTGCAAACGAAATAATCATACCTCAGTTTTTTTATTATTTTCTTAGCAGATTCTCTTCTCTTCTGTGTTGCAAATGTCAATCAACTTTGAATGTTGAAATCATTTTGCAATAAAACTGTTTCGCCTACTCTTGGTGTGGAATAACAAATTAACTCGGAATAGTTTCGCTGCTTGGCTGGTTGACATTGCCGATGGCGCGTGAGATATGTGATGAAGTTGGAGATGCTAGTCCATCCCAACCGAACATAAAGTTTACTGTAAAAGCGAAAATAAAACCTATCGAGATACATGCAGATGTTATCTTGTGGTGAATTTCGTCAGTGAAAAGCCGACAAAATGTCTGTTACCTAACGAAGAAACGTATTAAAATTAAAAGCGGCAAATAAACAATAAAATTTGTTTATAATTTTTATTCTGGATATAATTGTCATATATATGTAATTTATGAGAACATTGGCATGCTAAATTAATTTAACTTTTGTTTTTATTGTTCACATGCATTGCGGTAGATTATTGTTAATATTAAGTACGTGTGGTGAATACGAAAATTTCTTTGTATAGTGTGTCTTAGACTGTATTTAAAACGGTTTAAAAAATATATTCAACTAATATTCATATTATTTGATATAGTAAATTAAAATCAATATGTTTGTGAAATTATTTTGTAAGAAATACATAACTTAACCGAAAGATTCTGTACCACAATACATAATATTATGATGTATTATGTACGTCAATATCCAGAGTTCAATGCACGCCTTTAGAATCGTTGGGACAAAAGACTTAAGCAACAAACTGCAATTTCCACGTAAGTGAAATATGTAAGGGAAATTGATAATAATATAATATAATTTTATTTTATATTGCTGTGGGAATAGATAAAACTTATGTAATATTAAATAAATTATTTACTTTGTTAATATTTAGTAGACACATATTATCTATTATTCCCAAAATCTTTTTCAATTAATTTTAAAGGATTAGACTATTTTGGTGTTCAGCAGTAATCTTTGGGTTACTATTCCGATTTCCGAAGGAGATTCATTTGCCAACGAAATGTGTATTTTGAGAGCTTAGAGAAAACCTATTACTTGGAGGGAAAAAGAAAATTTGAAATACGCTGGACTAAATGTATCGAGCTAAAAGGTGATTATGTAGAAAAATAAAATATTTATTTGTCGAAAAAAATTTGTTTTATTCAAAAGGTCACTGACTTATCAAACCGTCCTCGTATTATTATATTATGTGATATCTACACAAATATATATATTGTGTAAACTGATACTTATATACAACGTTGTGCTTACGGTTGGAGTTTTATAACTTTATGTAACATTATACTATAATCTTCATTAAATTATAAGATCCTCAGCTCCTTTAATTGGGCATTTTATATAAATAATATCAAAAATCAGAGCGATTACGTAGGGTATTTATTTGTTGGCTTCGACTTAATCAAAATTTTAATGATCGCTTTTAAATGTTTGATAAATCTGACAACTTTGTTTGCATTTGTCTTGTCTGATATGCTTAAGGGCATCACAAACGCATTAAAATTGAATTTAAAATAAATTTGCATAAAAGGCGTTTAAACTAAAACAAAATACCACAACTCACATGTCTCGTGCCGCTAATCGAGTCAACTATTTATGCAGAAGTGGATTAAGACCCTCAGGGTAGGTCAAGGTTACTTAGCAAACATAGACGTTATCAATATTTTTATTAATATTCCTAAATATTCCTGTAGGAAATAAAATTAATGAACAAATACAAGCGCTCGACTTTCCTTGATAAAGAACTGCTTTAAGTATTAACGATTCTTTCCATATGACGTCAAATTGCCAAAGGCTAATCGATGTCGTAAATTTCAGAGCCGGTTTAGTAATTTTTAAATATCGGCATTTCATGCATATTCTTATGTTAATTCAAAATTGAGACAAATCTTTTTAAATCAATTTTCAAAAATTTCTGGATTCTGACCGGTTTTTAATTTTATACTCCGAAGCATATGTGATTAAAATATATGTTATATTGATAAATTTAAATTAATTAAAATTTTCTAATTTTCAATATAAAAGGCCCATTAACACCGAAAAATGTCATCAGTTAAACTTTGAAGCTTACTGCACAAAAACAAAAAATAAAAATGAAATTCTTCGTAAGTATCTTTATTAGAAAATCATATGCTCTATCAGTTGATTTCTACTAGATTCATATATTTTGAATCTTCTAGGTTGTATTCGCTTGCCTTTTGGCCGTAGCCTTCGCCGGTAATGACGTCAATGTCATCCGTAGTGATGCTGAAGTCAATGTTGATAACTTCAAATATGCTTATGAATTCGACAACAGCATCAAAGCTGAACAACAAGGCAACTTGAAAGGAGAAGATACCTGGGTCGTCAATGGTCAATACTCATATACCTCACCTGAAGGCGAACAAGTTTCCTTGGCTTATACCGCTGATGAAAATGGTTATCATGTTGATGCTGCCAACCCATTGTTGCCCACTCCACCACCAATTCCAGCAGCCATCCTCCGCTCTTTGGAATGGATCGCAGCTCATCCCTCAAAGGAATAAATTGCGGAATAGTTTGACA